GGCTGGGCCGGCCGGGGGCGTAATTAGTATTGCCAAACCAGCAAACGCATACACGACATTCCAGACAAACATCTTAACGAGTTACAGGGAATTTGTGGCTGTTTTTGTCCGGCTGATTATTCCTTCAAACCGAACTAACCCCCTTCCAACCTTCCTTTACCCAGCCTGCTTGCTACCACTTACTATTACCCAAGGTCATAATAGGCCCTGTCATTCGGCGGTCAGTCCAGGGCTTATGCTGCTCCTATCTTTATCTTTCTCCCCCCTCCCCCACCTCTCTCTCTCTGTCACTGGGGCGCATAAGGACTTTACAGACGTCCTTCCCCCTCCTCTGCTCCCCGTCGCACTCACACTGCTGCGGGAGGGATAGAGGCACGCCGACAACGCGAACCACGTGCATCGGATGCAGACTGACTAGTGGGGACAAACTCATAGACAGAATAATTACTATGTGAGAAGAAGTGAAAAGGGCTTTACACTCTGGTTAAGTTTCCAAGAAATTTAAAACAGTGCCACCGTGTACTGTACTAGCCAGCTGTTTTTATTTTAAAGAAAATATATGGTTTCATCTTCATCAAGCAAATTAGTTTAAAAACACACTAACAACTCTAACATTTCTCGCTGCTACACACAGACGCGTTGCCGTACGTCCAGCACATGCACATGCACACACATACACACGCACACATATCGAAAGAAGCACTTTCACCGGTTCATTTACTCGCGCTGCTTCATTTTTCCCCGTTTTACGTCCAAGAGACGCGAAGGAGAGCGAGTATTATAATAAGCCGAGCCCTCTTACACCCCTGCTGGCGCGCCGCGCCGCGGTGGCCGGTCGTTTCCCTCGGCACACGACGTCGCGAGTGACGCGGAGCGACACGAAGTGACTACGGAACGAGCGCGAGGCAGACGAGACAAAAAAAAAGGATAAAATAAAATAAATTGCACTATGGAGAAAGTGTCAGTAAAACGCTTATTATTGCCATGTGGCAGGTTGCGTGGGATGCGCGTCTAAAAGGACGTGTGTCCTTTTCCCTTCTACTTTGTGGTGCAGTCACGGTCGCCATTGGCACTCGGCTCGGCGCGGCGTGGCGTGGCGCGGCCAGGCGGCGGCGGCGCGACGGCGTGGCCTGGCGGCGAAAGTGATCAGGGTCCAGCCGCGCCTTGGCCTACCCGGCCCGCCCCGCCACGCCAGATGCGTTTACATAATAACGAAATCCCCGAGAAACACACGTAGGTCACACTCGAGCCGAGCCCCGATCAGAGCTGGGCCGAGGCGAGCGGGGCGAGCCGGGCCAGGGCGGCGCACCGGGCAGCAGCATGTACGTACCGTAAGGCAGAATCCGTATCCACACACACACTCTCTCACGCACGCACACACACACGCACACTGGCATCCACACTAACAACTTGGTGACCACGATGTAATTGACGATTATGATGGTGGTGATGATGGTAATGATGATGTTTAACAAGAGTTATGCTGGTGATGAAGAGTTTGACGCGAGCGGTGAACAGACAAATAAGGAGGACTCACTGGAGACTACTTGGGACTGCGTATGCGGGCCGGTCGCGGTGCGCTCGGGTAAGAGTTTGGACTGAGACTGCCAGGCCAGGCGCCCCGCCGCCAGGCTGGGGAGCGTGCGCGGCGTGGTGGGGCGCTGCAGGGTGGGGCGTGG